AACAACAACAATTATTTTTAAGTTACTAATTGCTGCCAGTGTGCTCTTCGGAGGCAAGGATGGTGAAATTTCATTTTGCATACTTTAAGAATGTTGTCAGGAAAGAACAGTCTTTGGAGAAGGACATTATGCTTGGCAAAGTGGAGGGTTAGCGCGGGACAGGAAGACTTGTGATGAGATGGACTGACACAGTGTAGCAGTGAGGTCAAGTATGTTGGTGATGGTGAGGTTGGCTCAGGATGTTGTTGTTGTTATGTGCCGTCAAATCACTTGCGACACATAGTGACCCTAAGTTCAGCATCTCTGAACCCTGCTCTATCCTGAACCAACCTCATGGTCTCTGACACACCTACCCCCATCACCCTGGTCACTGAGTTAATCCATCTCATCTAGGGTCTTCCTCTCTTGGACTCCACTTCCACCCTCTCCAAAGACTAGAGCCTCCTTGCAACCTGCCCAAAGTATGCCAGACAGAGCTTTAGAATAGAGAATAGAGTTTCTATGAGTCAGAGATGACTCAATGGTACATAATGTCAAACAACTTTTAGCAGAATGTCATTCTCTCTGAGAAAATATATTACAGACATATTTACTAGGCATTTCTAATTGCCAGAGCAGTCTTATGGGTAAGGGTAGCTGGAATGGAGAACTTAAGTGTAATACAGACCTTTACTTTAAGACTTCAGTAACCTTATCATCAGGAACCTGAAATACATTTCAGGTGCTTTGTAACACTTGAGAATAAAAGATAAATTTAGGGGCTTCAACAAAATTAGGAACACACATATATGTCCTGGCAGACAGACAATGCATATCTCTGGGATATGTAATTTGTTTACTGTAGAGAAGCAAGTGAAGTGGTAGAATACCCAAAACTGTGGATAGTCCTTAGTCATCCTTTGAACGTAGAATAAAGCTCATCCTGTATATACCTCAACTCTCAGCCAAACAGTCAACCAGCCTCCAAGGTGGGCAGCACTGCCAGTGAGGCTCACATTCCTTAAAATAGCCAACTATGTAAGTTCAAAAGAGCAGTAGATGCCCAGAAGTAAAGCTCAGAGGGCAAGAAGGGGTAGGATAGAAGGATTAATGGAAATGAGAATTACAGGGTGGAAATGGGGAAAGTGTGATTACATTGTGGGTATTGAAATTAATGTTATGTTATAGAACAAAATGTGTACGAATGAGTGAGTGAAGTATCAATCTGTTTTGCAAACTTTTACTCAAATCTATTAGCATTAGAGGCATCTAGTTTGTTACATTCCAGGTCACAGGAGCTAGAGTCACAAAGAACAAAACAGCCAATGAGGAAACTAGAACAAGAACAAAAGGCAGATGGATCACACAGTTCATGAGTTCTCCTTCCTTTATCTTAAGAATCTGTTGGTGGGAAAAAAGAAACTGTTGGATTAGTTAGGCAAAATACACCACTTTTCCTTAGTGGAAAACCTTTAAGAATATTGGAATAGAAGAGAAAGTCCTCAGAATGATTCAGGGTATATATGAAAAGACAACAATTAAACTTAATGGATAAAAATTGAGAACTTTCATCTTGAAATTGAGAACAAGACAAAGGTGCTTGCTCTCCCCACTTTTACTCAATATTATTTTAGAAATCTTAGGAAGTAGAAATAGTATGATTACCTGTGAATATTGTAATTAATAATATAAAACAAAATTTGTATGAGTGAGTGAATGGAAACCAATTAGCTTTGTAGGTTTTCATTCAAATCACAATAAATAAATGAGACACTAATAAGCTAAGGTGCACCTAATCCAGGCCATGGTCTTTGCAGTTACTTGCTATGCATCAGCGTGCTGGACAATGACTAAGGAAGACAGAAGAAGAATTGATGTCTTTTGTGGTGCTGGAGAAGAGTTTTGAACATACCATGGACCACCAAGAAAGCAAATTGATCTGTCTTGGAGAGGGTGAAACCAAGTTTCTCCTTGGAGGCTAGGATTTTGAAGCTCTGTCTCACATGCATAACTTGGGAGCATAACCAGGAGGGACCAATCCTTGGAGAAGGCCATCATGCTCAGAAACTGGGGGGACAGCATAGGAGAGGAAGACCCTGGGTGAGATGGATTGCTGTAGTAACTGTAATGGAGGTAGGTGTGTTGGAGTCAGTGAGACTGGCTTAGGATAGGGCAGGCTTCAGAGCTGTTGTACGTACATAGGATCAGTATTAGTCACAGGCAACTCAACAGCACATTACAACAAAAACAATAAACTTATTATTTTGAGAATATTAGAGCAATAACCTTTTGTTATTAACATATCTAGGAATTAAAAAATGCTTTGATAATTCTTTAGATAAAAAGGACAGGATAAAAGGGTCTATGTCTGCACTATCTAGTAGAAGTGATGGAGCTGTGGAAATTAACACAGAGAAAGAATTCTGAGGTGAAGGAAAAGAATGTGGCCAGGATTCTGCTCCAAATCATACATGTCCACTGAGTAAAAAGAAAAGACCCTAAATAACGTGAGAAAAGGAAACTAATGAAATGAAAATAAGTTTGAGAGAAGGTTTTGAAACTAATTAGAAAGAGTGTTGAAAAGGTGCTAGAATTGTGAAAATGTCTAATTTATAAGTAAAGGCTTTGAGAATGGTTGCCTGTTCATTTGAACTAAGTAACTGCACAATAAAAGTCAAGTTGTACAACATCAAGGGGAAATACTGACAAGAGGAACCTCTTTGCAGAGACTGCAAAGCATAGCGCAAAATGAGACTGAGGGTGGTACATTTTATTCATATAAAAAATTGAACTTTTCTCTCTCACCCATCCGTCCAAGATGCTGAAGGGAAAGAAGGCCAAGGGGAAGAAGGTGGCCCTGGTGCCCACCATGGTCAAGAAGCAGGAGGCTAAGAAGGTGGTGAATCCTTTGTTCGAGAAGAGACCCAAAAACTTTGGCATTGGGCAGGACATCCAACCCAGAAGGGACCTTACCTGCTTCATCAAATGGCCCAGCTACATCCAGCTGCAGCGGTAGAGGGCAATCCTCTACAAACAACTCAAGGTGCCACCAGCCATTAACCAGTTAACCTAGGCCTTGGACTGCCAGACGGCTATTCAGCTGCTGAAGCTGGCCCACAAGTACCGACCAGAGACCAAGAAGGAGATGAAGCAGAGGCTGCTGGCCTGGGCTGAGAGGAAGGCTGCTGGCAAAGGAGACACCCCCACCAAGAGACCCCCTGTCCTCGGTGCAGGGGTGAATATGATCACCACCCTGGTAGAGAACAAGAAGGCCCAGCTGGTGGTGATCGCACACTATGTGGGTCCCATATAGCTGGTGGTCTTCCTGCTGGCCTTGTGTTGGAAGATGGGCATTCCCTACTGCATCATCAAGGGCAAGGCCAGGCTGGGCTGCCTTGTCCACCAGAAGATCTGCACCACTGTTGTCTTCACACAGGTGAACCCGGAATATAAAGGCACTCTTGCGAAGCTGGTAGAAGCTATCAGAACCAATTACAATGACAGACATGATGAGATTCGCCGTCACTGGGGAGGCAACGTCCTGGGGCCCAAGTCAGTGGCCCGTACCACCAAGCTGGAGAAGGCCAAAGGCCAAAGAACTCGCCACCAAACAGGGCTGATACACACACTGATTCTTCTGTACATAAGAATAAACTTATTCCACTGTGAAAATAAATGAATGAACTTTTGCCTTAAGCCTCAGACACTTTATATATTGGCCAGGCTTTGCTCATTACCAAATGGTAAATGAAGCTGACCTATTAGAAAATCAGTCATCATATCTATTTCAACATATATCTCTTTTTAGATCAGTCAGTCTTTAACTATATACAATTAATTATGCAGGGAGCTCTGTTGGCCTTGTTGATAAGGAGTTGAGCCAACCCAAAAGTAGGCAATTTGAATCTCCCAGCTGCTCCAAGAGAGAAAGGGGAATATTCTCCCATGTGAAAATTAGCCAGAAGGTCAGCTATGGGTCAGTTTCTGATAATGAAAAAGTGAAAAATTAATTGTGCAAGTAATAACATTATTAAATCAGAATCAAAAGGAGAAATCTAAAATTCTACTAACTTTAGCAAATCCATCTTTTTTTGGTTGGAACACTCCCATTCTTTGTCATTTGTGCATGTATAATTTTTACGTTTAGTTGTAACAAAAGTGTAAGTTTTTTCTAGATCCACAATGAGCAGTTTAATTGTGTTGTAGCCATCCTAATTGTAAGTTTCTAATAGTTTCTAATAGCTGAATATTATGTCATTAGTAGCTCTTCCACACATAATTATTCCTTGGGACATTCAATTTGTTTGCCATTGTTACATATGTCTCGTGCCTTTACTTGGGATTATTTTTTTCTGATAAGTCTCAGGAATTGCTGTTATTGCATAGTCAAAGGTTATGGCTATTTTTAATGGTTTTTATTCATCCTTAAAAAATTTTATAAAAGTTAATTTTCCATTTTGCTTTCTAGAGAAGTTTATAGCCTTACGAAATGAGTACCTGCAAGCAGATGAGGCCAATAAAAGACTTCTGGAACAAAGGTTTGGTAAGAGGGTGATTCAGAAGATGCTGGAGGAGATGGAAAGTAAGGATTGGCTAGAAAAGAACTCCAAGAGCTGTCCGTGTTGTGGGACTCCCATAGAGGCAAGTATTTCAGCGTACACCAGAGAACACACACCAGCAGGCTTGTTAGGATTGCCTCAAGAAGTCAGTTACTCAGTTTTATTATTTAGGAAGAATAAGACACCCTTTGGTATCTATTAGCCCTTCTTACTTAAAAAATGCAGATCTCTTACTCTATATGATTATTGATCGTAAATATCTCTAAACTTCCTTTTCAAAATGCTTTTAAATGGAGGGTAGTTCTCACATCATTAAAAGATAAGTAAATGAAAAACAGCCAAAGTCACTGCTGTGAGGCCAGTTCTGACTTGTGGTGATGCTGAGCCTGGAATAGAACTGCTCATTGAGTTTTCAGTGTCTGGGTTGCAGACAGGCCTTCTGAGGTGCCCTGATGGATGCAAACCGCCTCCCTTCCATTTAGCGGCTAAATGCATCACTATCTGCCCTACTCGCGCAATTCTTCTTCCTTGTTATCTTCACATGAAAATAGAATGAGTTTTTTAGGAGGTCATAACAGAGCTACAGTCAGTTTTTAAGTTTTTTTTTGGGGGGGGAAAGGACCTATCCTGAATTTTCCTTTTCTTAGAACTATTTATAGTGAGATGTAGGACAGCGTTTAGCAATTACTTGCTCAGGAAATGAAGACATTTTCCCCATTAATCTGAGCCAAAATGATTAAGTAAATCTTAATATATTTTAAAATTAAATGTATTTTGCCTTTGACTCTACTTTTCTTTCTTTTTTTTTATTTTATTTTACTTTTCTAATCAACTATGCCTGAACTGAACCTAATGGTGATTCCCCACTCAGTTTATGGAGGAAATTGGCATTATGCTGTACTGCTTCTGGCAAAAAAAAAAAAAAAATTACACATTTAAAATCCAAGCATTTCAATATTAGTTACTACATATTCCACATATAATATACACATAGACACATGGCTTGTATCTACTGTTTATCAGGACATTTTGCTAAATGTCTAGTTGTAGGAACACCTGCTAAATATTTTCCTTGTTTTTTCCATGACAGTACAACTAGTTTGAAGAGTTAACCGGTATATCTCAAAACTGCAAGGAGACTTAAAATGTACTGAATCTTACTGGCAGTTGTGTTTCCTTATTTTTACAATCTTGACATTTCTTTTTCTATCCTTTTCACCAGAAATTAGATGGGTGTAACAAGATGACTTGTACTGGCTGTATGCAGTATTTCTGCTGGATTTGCATGGGTTCCCTTTCTAGAGCAAACCCTTACAAGCATTTCACCGATCCTGCTTCTCCCTGTTTTAATCGGTATGTATACACAGAATTCACCAGATATGACAGCAGTTTTGCAAATCCAGTGTTTTACTTATGTATTTGAATTTTCTGGTATGGCTTCTCATATATATGAATCTCTTTTATTTTCTCAAAAATGAGTTTTGTAAAGGGAATATATACTGTTTGGAGAGGTTGAAAGGATAGTGTTGTGAATAGGAAGGAGGACCTCTTCTACCTGAATTACCGATGACAGCTTGCTGTATTTGTTTGTGTTTAACTTTTATGTCAGACTGTTCAAAGCGAAGTTGGAGATGTGCTGACATTTTAAATACTTCTTAAATACTTCTAACATGTATGTCCTAAGATAAGAAGATTGAGACTGGAGGACACTGTGGGAAACTGGGCTGGGAGGATGACTTCTGTCTAAAGTGTAGAGCTTGAGACCTTTCACCGAAAATCTTCAGGACAAGATTTTGTAATTTGCTTTTCTTCTCTGTAAAATGGAGCTGATCATCTTGTAACACAGTATATAACCATGTTGAAATTTTTGGCCTGGGCTGCCCTCCACTTTGGAGTCAGCCCAGCCGACCCTCGTCAGTTAACTTTCTTAGCCTGAAAAAGAAAAAAGAAAAAAAAGAAAATTTTTACATAGCATAATACTTGGGAAAAATGGAATAATAATGTCATATTATCATCTAATAAACAGTAGCTGTGTAAAACATCTCACTTATTCAAAAAATGTCTTTTTAGTGAACTAGGATTTTTGTTTGTGTGTTCCTCTTTTTATAATGGATTTCTTTTTAGGCATGTTGTTGTTATGTGCCGTCGAGTCGCCTGCGACTCATAGCGACCCTATGTACAACAGCCCTAAACTCCGCTCTGTCCTGTGCCAATCGCACTGTCTCTGACACTCCCATCCCAATTATCCCAGTCACTGAATCAATCCACCTCATAGAGGGCCTTCCTCTCCTGCGCCGTCCCTCCACCCTCCCAAGCATGATGTCCCTCTCCAAGGACCGGTCTCTTCTCACTACATGTCCGAAGTAAGTTAGACGGAGCCTCAGAATCCTTGCCTCCAAGGAGCCACCCGGTTTAACCCTCTCTAGGACAAATCTATTTGTTTTCCTAGCAGTCCATGGTATTCTCAGTACTCTTCTCCAGCACCACAGCTCAAAGGCATCAGTTCTCCTTCTATCCTCCTTGGTCATTGTCCAACTCTCTGATGCATAACAGGTGATTGCGAAGACCATGGCCTGTATCAGATGCACCTTAGTCTCCAGAGAGACACCACTGCTCTTCAGCACTTTGGAGAGGTCCCTAACAGCAGACTTTCCCATGGCAATGCGCCTTTTAATTTCCTGGCTGCTGGTGCCAGGACTGTTGACTATGGAGCCAAGCAAACTAAAGCTGTGTACAATCTCAATCTCTTCACCATCCATCCTGGTGCTGCCAATTGGTCCAGTGGTGAGAATCTTTGTCTTCTTGACATTGAGCCTCAATCCATATTGCAGGCTGCAGTCCTTGACACTCTGCAGCAGGTGCTTCAGGTCCTCCTCAGTTTCAGCAAGCAGGGTTGTGTCATCCGCATAACGCAGATTGTTGATAAATCGTCCACCAATCCTGACCCCACATTTCTCCTCATAGAGCCCAGCCTCCCAGATAATCTGTTCTGCATATAGGTTGAAGAGGTATGGAGATAGGATGCATCCCTGGCGTACGCCCTTCCCAATTTTGAACCATGCAGTGTTCCCTTGCTCTGTTCTGACGACTGCCTCCTGGTCCAAGTATAAGTTTCGCATTAGAACGATCAAGTGTTCAGGGATTCCCATTCTTCTCAGAGTCAGCCATAGCTAACTTAAATATTAAACTTGAACATACTATGCAATTCCTTAACTTCCTTGGGAAATGTATTTTAAGAATGTATGACATGACACCAATCAAGTGTCTGGGATTCCCATTCTTCTCAGAGTCAGCCACAGTTTGTTGTCATCCACACAGTTAAATGCCTTTGTATAGTCAATAAAACACATAGACATTCCTCTGGTACTCTCTGCTTTCAGCCAAGATCCATCTGACATTAGCTATAATATCTCTAGTGCTACGGCCTCTTCTAAACCCAGCCTGGACTTCAGGCAGTTCTCTTTTGATGTGCTGTTCCAGTCATTTTTGGATAATCTTCAGCAGAATCTGGTTTGCATGTGAGATCAATGATACTGTTGGATTATTTCCACATTCTGTCAGATCACCTTTCTTTGGAATGGGAACAAATACAGATCTCTTCCAGTCAGTCCTCCAGATTTCTTGGCACAACTTGGTGAGCACATCCAGAGCAGTGTCTGTTGAAATATGTCAATCAGTATGCCATCAACTCCCGAGGCCTTGTTTTTTGCCAATTCTTTCAGAGCAGCTTGAACTTCTTCCTTCATCATCACAGGCTCTTGTTCAGACGTTGTTTCATGAAATTCTGTGTCCACCAATTCCTTTTGGTACAGTGACTCTGTATACTCTTCCCATCTTCTTTTAATGCTTCCTGGATCATTTAATACTCTGCCCAACGCATCTTTAAGTATAGCAACTCGAGGTTTGAATTTGTTCTTCAGTTCTTTCAGCTTAAGGAATGCTAAGCGAGTTCAGCCCTTTTCATTTTCTGACTCCAGCTCCTTGCACATTTCATTGTAATATTTTACTTGCATAGTAAAAATTTTATTTTATATTGGTTTGCTTACAAAGTTCATATACATGTGTTTCACACTTTCATTCCCATTCATTATGTTTTATAAAATTAGTCACCATTGAACTATGCGCCCATTACCCTGCACCCGCCAGATCTTTCCCATTTCCTTTACCCACCCCTCCTTCTGTCTGTCAAATTGAGCAACCTAATGATTCCCCCCTGCCCATCCTCCCCGTTCTGCTCCCACCTTGGATCCTCATACACATTTTACTAGTGATCATTCTATTTCTACAATAATGATATTATGCAATTAATGTCCTTAGAAGACTGAGTTCATTCATTCAGTATCATGCTTTCCAGTCTCTCTCAAGTTATGTAGTATGTTTAGAAATTATTGCTCCTGAGTGCTGTGTGGTATTCCATCATGTGAATGTACTACAGTCTCTCAATCCATTCGGTTGTGATTGGACATTTGGGCTGTTTCCATGTTCTTGTGATGGTGAATAATGCTGCTATGAACATTGGTGTACAAGGATCCATTTGTGCCTCAGTTCTCATTTTCTCAGAGTATATTCCAAGCAGTGGAATAGCTGGGTCATATGGAATTTCTGTGTTCAGCTTTTTGAAGAAATGTCAAACTGCCTTCCAGAGTGGTTGTACCGTTTTACAGTCCCACCAACAATGTGTAAGAATTCCAATCTCTCCATAGCCTCTCTAGCATTTATTTTGACTCACAAAGTTTTAAGACCTAGGTTGCTACTTACCAAAGTAGGATGTAAAACATTGTGGTGAACCAGGATCTAATCAAGGTTCAATCACTATATTTTGTTATATATTATTAGTTGTTTTACACATAGAACAGATTTATTATCCTGTGACTGAATTATGCCTGGTTCAGACTGTGGTCTTTCAATCACTGCTATGCTGTAGAGAGGTGGACAGTGAATAAGTATGACAGAAGAAGAACTGATGCTTTTGTACTGTGGTGTTGGAGAAGAGTGCAGAATATCCCAGGAACTGCCAAAAGAACAAACAAATATGTCATGGAGAAGGTGCAACCAGAGTACTCCTTGGAGGCAAGAATGATGAGGCTTCACCTCACATACTTTGGGCATGTTGCTAGGAGGGGCCATTCTTTGGAGAGGGACATGATGCTTGGAAAGGTGGAGGGTTGGCGAAGGAGAGGAAGACTCTCAACCAGGTGGATTGACATGGTGACTGCTACAGTGGGCTCTTGTGTGTGAGGAACTCGGAGGATGGCACAGGTTAGTACAAGGTTCAGATATTTTTTTCGTAGGGTCATTATGAGTTGTACTCATCTCAATGGCACCTAACAATAACAACAACAGTAGTATGCATCTGATATTTGGACAGTGAATAAAGATGGCAGAGGTATTGATGCCTTTGAGTTGTGGTGTTGGAGAAGAGTACTGAATATCCCATGGACAAAAGAACAAACAAATATGTCTTAAAGAAAGTGCAGTCATAGTGCTCCTTGGAGACAAAGATGATAAAGCTTCGCCTCATATTCTTTGGGCATGTTGCTAGGAGAGGCTGTTCATGGAGAAGGACATTATACTTGGAAAGGTGGAGAGGCAGTGACAGAGAGGAAGACCCTCAACCAGGTGTATTGACACAGAGACTGCTGAAATGGGCTCAAGTATGTCAGGAATGTTGAAGGTGGTACAGGATAGGACAGGGTTCAGATCTGTTGTTTTTAGGGTTACTATAAATTGTACTTAATCTACTTGATGACACCTAAAACCAGCATGACTTAGTTCAAGCATCCTTGCTCTTTATCACTTTAAGGAAATCTTACACAATGAAAAAGAAAGAAAAAATAAAAAATCTTGCACAGCAGATTTGCCCAATGAAATAAGCCATCCATGAGTGTTGATTGTGGAACCATGTAAAACTTCAATCTTTTCTCCATTTAGGATGCTGCCTATTAGTACAGTTGTGAGGATTTTTAAGGTATAATCTATACTGAAAGATAGTCTTTCCTCTTCTGTAGGAAGTGCTCCAAACCCTCTTCACTTTCAGCAAGGAACATTGTATAAAGCAGGCTATTGATCAGTCTTCCTCCAGTCTTGATACCACATTCATCCTAAGACCCTTCCCTTTTCCTTCACTCTCCCCCCATTCTTCTTCATGTAGTCTGAGTTCTCAGATTGATTTGCTCAGTATACCCATTGAACACATGTTGAAAGGATAAAGCCTTAAGACACACTTATTGTTTATTTAAACTATACAATATCCCCTTGTCTATCTAAATGATTACTTCTTGGTTCATGTACAGGTTTCTTCTGAGCACAATTAAGTATACTGGAATTCTCATTCAAGTGGTTTTTTGGTTTTTTTTTTGTTTTTTTTTTTTAATGATTCTCACAGTCTAAACCCTTTACATAGTCAGTAACTCATAAGTAACATCTTTCTGGTATTTTCTAACCCAAGATTCATCTGATGTCAACAGTAATATCCCTACTTCCATAATCTCTTCTGAATCCAGCTTGAGCTTCTGGCTGCTGCCTAACTATGTATTGTTCCTGGTGGTTTTGAATAATATTTAGAAGAATTTTATTTTCAGGTGATCTATTATTGATATTGTTTGATATAGCACATTCTGTTGAATTACTCTCTTAAATTAGGAACAAAATAGAACTCTTCTGGGCATTTTCCCAAGTCTTCCAAATTTTTTGGCTTAGATAAGTGAAACATATACAGGGCTGCATCTGTTGGCTGAAACATCTCAGTTGGTTTTCTGTCAATTCCTGGGGCCTGTCTTTTTGTCAGTGAGTTCAGTGCAGCTTAGACTACTTCATTACCATTGACTCTTGGATATATGGTACTTCTTAAAATGGCATGGTGTCAAACAACTCTTTTTGGTACAGTAATTCTGTGTATTCCTTCCATCTTTTGATATTTTCGTGTCATTCTAGATTTAACATGGAATTCTTTACTGTTGCAACTTGAGACTGAATTTGTTCATCAGATCTTTCAGCTTACAAAATGCTGAGTTTATTCTTCTCTTTTGCTTTTTTAACTCGAGATTTTGCACATTTCCTTGTAATATTTTGCTTTGTCTTCTTGAGCTGCCTTTTGAAATTTTCTGTTCAGTTCTCGTCGTCATCATTGTCCAACTTTCAAATGCATAGGATGTGATGTAAAAGAGTATGGCTCGAATCAGGTGCACCTTAGTTTTTAAATTGACATAATTGCTCTTTAACACTTTAGAGAAATCCTTTACAGCAGATTTTCCCAATGTAACATGTCTTTTGGCTTTCTTGACTGCCATTACTATGGCTCTTAATTGCCATTAGGGCACACTATATGCCATTAGCAAAGCTAGTTGTTGTGGTGGTTAGAGGCCTTAGAGTTAAGTATGATTTCACAGCAACCCTGTGAACAATAGATGTGAACCCAGCCCTATTCTGTGTCGTCCTCATTGTCTCTGATCCACTTTAACCCATTGCCACAGACACTGTGATAGTCCATCTTGATATCAGTGTGCCTCTCTTTTACTGATCCTCCACCTTTCCAGAAAATATTAAAAGACAAATTGCATTGGGGAAGTCTGCTGTCAGCGACCTCTCCAAAGTACTGAAGAGTAATGATGGCAGTCTGGAGATTCAGGTGCGCCTGATACATTTCATGATCTTTGCAATCGCTTGCTATGCATCAGAGAGCTAGACAATGACTAAGGGTGATAGAAGGAGAATTGATGCCTTTGAGCTGTGGTGCTGGAGAAGAGTATTGAATATACCATGGACTGCTAAGGGAATAAACAGGTTTGACTTGGAGAGGGTTAAACCAGGCTGCTCCTTTGGAGGCAAGGATTCTGAAGCTTCGTCTGGCATACTTTGGTCATGTTGCAAGGAGGGACCAATCCTTGGAGAGGGACGTCATGATTGGGAGGGTGGAGGGATGGCACAGGAGAGGAAGATGCTTGATGAGATGGATTGATTCAGTGACTGGGTTAATAGGGGTAGGTGTATCAGAGACAAAAGAGTGGCACAGGATAGAGCAGGGTTTAAGGGCTGTTGTACATAGGGTTGCTATGAGTCACAGGCTACTCAACAGCACTTAACAACAACCATCTTTTCAAGCATGATGTCTGTCTTTTAGCAACATGCCCAAAATATGTGAAATGAAGTTTCATAATCTCTTCCTCTAAGGAGCATTCTGTTTTCACTTTATCCAGGACATGTCTGTTTGTTCTTTTGGCAGTCCATGATCTCCAGACTGCCCATACCAAAGATGTGGATTTTGAATCCAAGTAAGATGATATCCCTGACATTTCAATATTTTCTCCATCTGTCATGATGTTGCCTGTGCCCTGTGGTGACTATTTTTTTTTTTCTCGATGTTAAGGTGTAATCCATACTGAAGGTTGCAGTCCTTGATCTACTTCAGCAGGTACCTCTCAAGTCCTCCTTGCTTTTATCAAGCAGTTTTAACATCAGTATAATTCAGATTGTTAATGAATCTTCGGCCAATCCTCATGCCACATTCTTCTTCATAAAATCTAGCTTCTCTAATTGTTTGCCTAGCATACAGGATGAATAGATAAGGAAAAAGGATACAACTCAGACATATACCTTTCTTAAATTTAAACCATGCTGTGTTCCCTTGCCCTGTTTGGACAGTAGCGTCTTGGTCTAGCTACAGATTTCGTATAAGCAAAATTAAGTGCTCCGAAATTCCTATTCTCAATATTAGCTGTACTTTGTTATGATCCACATAGTCAAATGTCTTACATAGTCAGTAAAACACAGACATTCTGGTATTCTCTGCTTTGAGCCAGGATCAGTCCGACATTAGCAGAGAGAGCCATGGTGCCATGATCTTTTCTGAACCCACTTGAACTTCCGACAATTCTCTGTCAATACAGTGTTCTAACCATTTTTGGATCATTTTCACCAATATTTTGTTTGCATGTGATATTAATGATATTGTTTGATAATTTCTACATTATGTTGAATCACCTTTCTTGGGAATGGGAACAAATATGGATCTCTTCCAGTCAGTTGGCCAGCTAGCTGTTTTCCAAATCGTAGCACAGCTTGGTGAACACATCTAGAGCTGCATATGTTAGTTGAAACATGTCAGGTGGTATCCCACCAATTCCTGTAGCCTTCCTCCCCCCACCCCCAATGCTTTTAGTGCAGCTTATACTTCTTCCCTCATCACTAGTGGCTCTTTATCATATACTACTTACTGAAATATTTCTTTGTCAACCAATTCTTTGGTACAGTGACTCTTTGTATTCCCTTCATCATCTTTTGGTGCTTCCCAGATCATTCAAGATTTTTCCCATAGCATTTCTCAGTATTATAATTTCACACTTGAATTTATTTTCCAGTTCCTTCAAATTGAGAGATTACAAGCTGAGAAATTCAGTTCTTTCAACTTGAGAAATTTAAAAAGTTCTTTCCTTTTTGTTTTCCAACTCTAGCATTTTTGCATATTACTTTATAATACTTTGCTGTCCTTGAGAGAGTGAAACTAGGCTGCCTTTTGGAGGCAAGGATTTTGAAACTTTGTCTGACGTACTTTGGACATGTTGCAAGGAGGGACCAGTCCTTGGAGAAGGAAGTCATGCTTAGGAGGATTGAGGGACAGTGCAGGAGAGGAAGACTCAGTGATATGAGGTAATGGGGGTAGGTGTGTCAGAGACAATAAGATTGGCACAGGCTAGAACAGGGTTTAGAGCTATTATACACAGGCTCACTATGAGTCACAGGTGACTGAATGGCACATAACAACAACAGCATGTCTTCTTAGGGAGAGGCAAATCAAAACCAAAATAAGATAACATCTCACCCCTGTAGTGGCAGCTCATTAGGTTCAACAAGTCAGCAAATAAAAAATGCTCTTGAGAGAGTGGGGAGTTTAAAATTCTCATACACTCTTGGAATGGAGTGTAAAATCAGTATGGAAATCAGTTTGTTGCTTCCTTAGAAAGTGGCAAATACATCCAGTAATCTCACTAGTAGGTATATATCCACAAACAGTAAGAGCTACCACACAGACAGATATTTGCATGTCCATATTCAATACATTAGGTACACAGTTGGAATCTACCAGCTGCTCTGTGGGAGAAAGGTGGGCAATCTCCTCCCATGCACCTTACTGCCTCTGAAAACCCACTGGAGGATCAGCTTTGTGTCAGTTCCAACTCTACAGTACACAACAACAAATGCCAATATTCATTACAGCATAATTTATAATAGCAAAGAGATGGAAATAATCTGAGTATCCTTCATTGGCTAAAGAAACTAATATATTCATACAGTAGAGCACTATGCAACACTCAGAAATAATATAGAATTACAGAAACACTGTACAATATGGGTGAATCGGGAGGAAAATACCAGTCAGTCACAAAAGGACAATTGTAGTATATTACCAGAGGGAGAGAGTACAAATTCATTGTTGCATTAAGGGAATGGCAATATACAATAACAGGTTAATAATCATTGTCATTAATTTATTACATTAATCAATTGTAATGTTGAAATATGAATGGATAATTGAATGAAAAACCAAATGATTTGTGAACTTTCAACCATATAAAAGATTTATTTTAAAAATACACCCTTTTTTTCCCTGCTTCCAGATTGTTCTATGCTATGGAGGTTGATGGAGACATGTGGGAAGATGAAGACTAGTTAACTCCTCCTGCACAAGATACGGAAATAGAGTGGTTTCCCTAATCTTTTTGACTTCACAAAGTTACTTTGCAGGACACTTAGGATACTATTCATTTACTCTGTGTAGCATACATGGAAGAACCAGGTTTATATTTTCATTTGACACTACTGATTAAGGCACATCCATGTATTTCTCAGTGTAACATAAATGGAGAAAAGTATAAGCCAAAGGTTTAGAAAATGAAAACTAGAGAATATTAAGTATTATAATATATCCCAAGACTGCAGAGTTAAAAATTAAATATTTATTTTCCTCTCCCAGCTTTAGGTAAGGAGAGGGGCCACGAGTATACCCTACATACCCTTTTATTGCTGAAGGATCCGTCTCAGGCACTCCTGTTGGAGCCCCCTCTTCACTATTTCTTACATCTAGGATAGGGAGGAGCCTTATTAAAATGATGCTGAAAGTTGTTGTAACCTCTTACAGGCCTACCTTGTTTCCTCCATATTACTCATCTCACATTCCTTCCAACCTAAATTGCTCTGATTGTGTTCTCCTTGGAGGGTTATAGCTGATTGGCTGACCCAGTGTCATTTTGATCTGCTTTACAGGATAGAAAAGTATGTAGATAGGTTAAAAAAATATGTTTTAAAAACACAACAATGTGAGTCACCTAATATTAATCAGTGCTGGATAGTCCACTGGTTTTGAGGCAAATCTTTTCAACTTTCCTGCACAACCGGGCCTGGATTCAGAACGACTTGTCTTTGTTTACATTCTGTCTTTTCCCTCCACCCACCATCAGTTGGTAAGGCCAATTTTAATATTATCCTCAACATCTCGTGTTTTTGTTTTCCTCTGCTGGAATAGAGGACAGTCTACTATAGTCCCAGGTGAAGGAGCTCAAGTTCCCTGTCCACACCACTGGAGTCCAGGATTCTCTTTTTAAAGGTGTTCTTTACTGAGCTTTGGGGATTTAGCATCCTAGCCTTGACCCCTCTACTTCCCCAAATGCAGTGTTTTGAGTGGCATCATTTTTGGCTGATATCAAGACTTTTGTTGCCTTTTAGAAATACTATCTTTCCTGTGGCTTGGTAGCAAATAAAATTCTTTTTTGAAAAGAGGACAAGAAGTCAGCTGCAGTTTGTAAACATGTTCCCCCCCCCACACACACACACACACACACACCTTGCCATTGACAATTGAAGAAATATTCTTAACTATTTTGGGGGTATGCTCTAGTCCAAAGAATTAACAGGGGACATATTTGTGGATTTCAGTGATGGTGCTTAATCTTAAAAAAACTCTAGGGACCCCATAGAAGGACTGTTCTGTAGGGTTTCCAGTGTTGTGATCTTTATGTAAGCAGACTGTTCCACAGTTCTTTCACAGAGAAACTAGTGGTTATGGACCACCAACCTTTAGTTAACCACTGAATGCTTAACCACTGGACTACTAGAGTTCTTCAATCTTGGGATAATTAAAGGAAACTTTTATTTATACCAGAATGATGCTAGCTAGTTCTGTTGTCATAGCAACTGATAACATTTAGAAACTCCATGTGGTGTATAGCAGATATTCTTAAGGTGAGAATACAAAAGTCTGGGAACAGACCCCTTCTCATCCTGGGCTTATGGCTGAACTTGATTTTAAGCCCTGTGTTTTATATATACCAGATTTTCATAGACTTCTATTTAGCATATTTTTATATTAGAACTAAAGTTGCTTTAAGAATAACTTGAAGATAATAAATGGAAAAGATTAATTATCCAGTAAAAAAAACCTGAGAACATTTCAGGCTGTGATTGAACAGGAATCCCAGTTCTGACTTTTCAGTATTCATCCTGAGAAGCTCTAGTTCATTGATTGCTTAATACTCACTAGAGTTAATTTTATTTTACTTGAAGCTTTTTGCATATCTTGTTGTAAAAGATAAGAAGCTTTCACAATGCATTTTTTAACATAACTCAGTTTTATTTTTCCACAATGCATTTTTATGAGAGAAATGGGAAGATCCCCCAGCCCCCATTTTTCACTCAATAGTCGTAGGTGATTAGTCTCAAGGCCTTGTCTGTATGAGGGTTTCTTCCTTCAGTACGACATTTTCACTGGCTCATTGTAACAAAGTAAGGCATGTAAGGTTTTCCTTTTATGACATGAATTATTAGTTAATTTTAGGATGATTTTTTTTTCTTTAATAATAGAATTTTTTCTGAATAAAAGATGGAGGTGACCTTCTGAATGCCTTATTAAGTAAATGGGTCTGTGCAAGGCTGCTATGTTAGGACATTATATGAAAGGATAGAGAGTTTTGTTCTTAGATTAGATTCATGAAGGCCATTTCCACAGCTGGCCTGACCTGCTGTTTGCCCTAAGTTGACCTCATGCGTCCTTTTGCTGAGAATAGTGAAGAACATCCCTTTGCAGATTGGTAATTTATCTTGCTCGGAACAGTTATTTGAAGGGCCCATGTGTCTTGATCCTACTATTAAAAGTGTGGGTCTAGAGCCAATACTTGGAAATAATATCCTAAATAATATTTTTAAGTCAGAATAGAGGTTTTATGACTTCTAAAATTTGTGATTGAACAAACTCTTTAGGGCCTGACTTTATTAGTTGAGCTACATCTTGTCTCTTACATTTTCCAAAATAAACTTTATTTTAGACTCCTTTTAGATTTATAGGAAAATTTGAAGATAGTACAGAGAATTTCTATATACTCCACACTGTTTCTTCCATTGTTAAGGTTTTATATTAGTATTGTTTTGTCACAATAATAAGACACATTAACCAGGAAGCTCTGGTGGCCTAGTAGTAAGGAGCTGCACTGCTAACCTGTAGGCGTGCAGTTTGAATCTAGCAGGTGCTCTGTGGGAGAAAGATGGGCAATCTCCTCCATGTGATTTATTGCCTCTGAAAACCTGCTCAGGGGTCAGCTCTGAGTCAGTTCTGACTCTGTGGTACATAACAGCAAACAGCAGCAGCATTAACTAGAATCCCTTAGCTGTAGAGCTGGAAGACTTGCCTGTTCCAGAAGGAGCCCATCCAGGATGCTGTACAGCATTTAGATGTTGTGTCTCCTTGGGCTCCTCGTGGCTTTGACAGCTGTTCCATGCATTTTCATTGTTGATTGTTATATAAACATCATTATATCCTGATGCACCTGGATTGGCCAGGAGCTAATAACTTAATCTTAGGATCAACAAATTGATGATGCTTGTTTTGATTGGGGTCTTTTTGTAGCTGTAAGCCGTTTCTTTCTCAGGATATTTGACTGGCTATGTGCATGCTGTCCTAGACTGTGTACCTGTTGTGGTCATTTTTTTCTGCAAAGCTGTGTGAGGAAGTCACTAAGTAATTGACAAGCTGATCTGTCTGTTCTGTGTCAGCTGGATCCGTGAGATTCTGCGCTGGTGCGGGAGCCCTAACCTCCTATCTCTGCTAAACACTGAACTGTGAGCAAGGCAGCATCAGGTGCATGACTCCTTCCTTTCAAAGAGGTGAAGGGAAAGTGGACTTTAAAGAAAAGGCTCAGCAGCCATGTTTCCAAGCCTGTGCCATTGTCAGCAAGATCGTTTTTCTATAGTAGGTCTAGTTTACATCTGAAGTCTTTTAATATGCTTACTATTCATTTTTCTGTCAAGAAATGGAGAGTTGAAAGAGAAAAGTACTTTTACAGATTGTATGAAAAGTACTTTTACAGATTGTATGAGAGAAACTAAAGAACTCTGTTAGCAAAATGGATCCATGGACTTTAGAAAAAAGACATTGGAAAAACTTGTAAAATAGAAATCTGCAATTTAGTTAAAACAGTTAATAAAATAATTGTAAAACTACTTGTTTTTTAAAAGAATTTAAAAAATTTTAATACAGTTTTCCCTCTGTCATTGCTGATGAATTGGTACCAACCTGGGTCTCTGAGGCTATAAATCATGCTAAGTTAGTGGGTGGAGGATGCAGGGAGGTGGACATGCCCATCTTTCTCCTAAGTCACAAGGATTCTAACCTCCTTTGAGTTGAACTTTGTTATAAGTATCACCAGCAGGTGGCAGCAATGATGAGCTAGAAAAACATAACTGATTAAGGCAGCGTGCGTGCGCTGGTGGTGCTGTGGTTAAAGCATTTGACTGCTAACCAGAAAGTCAGCAGTTCAAACCTACCAGCTGTATAGTGTTGGAGAAAGAGAAGTCAGTCTGCATCTGTTGCGATCTATAGCCTTGTAAACCCTGTGGAGCTATTACCAAAATCAATTCAATGGGAATGGTTTTCATTGTGGTTGGTTAAGACATGATAAGGATTTTGTAGAGGCAAATTTAGTTTCAAAGATTTTCCCTTACTGTGTTTTTATAGTATTCTGTTATATACCTTGGGAAGCAATGGATCTAATGATTCTAGCAATGCAGGACCTGAAGTATTGCCAAATAATTTAAGACCACTTAAAATAAACTGTAGTTGACATATTATCTAATTGTTACTAAGAAAGTGTCCCTCCTGATAGTGTAGCCACTGATGTAAATAACTTAAACTGTCCAGTTAAAGTCCCTAAGTTGAACTGAGAGATTGTGACAGTCATGACCTGTGGTAACTGGTGAGGGTAGCCAAATAGTCACTCCTTGACTACTAGCTTAATTTCTTTTTTAAATCAGGATTTTATTCAGGATGAAATCTCTCTCAGGGAGGAGTGATAGGGAATGGCAAAGGACACATTGACAAAGGGGATTAATCAGAACTGGTTTTGACAAGCACTGTGGCAATGGGACAATTAAAACAAACTTTCAAGGAATATTAAACCTGAATCCTTCTGATCATACGGAGATTTTTGAAAGTATTTCTTTGAGTTTATTATGCTTAATTTGTTTTATTTGTTTGCGTATAAAGGATGCTCATCTACATGATAACATAATTATGATAAAAACAAAACGGGGGAAATATGGGAAGCCAATACTAAATATTTGTAATAAACACAACACTATTTAAATTAAAAAATAATACAAATTAAAGCCTGAAATAAAATATCTAATTGCATTAAAAAATTAATAAAAATTAAAAAATTTTTAAAAAGCCACAAAAAACTAAAACTAACCAGCAGACACAACAGAGTTTTGTGGTAGAAAGCTGGATTGTAGGAGCTTTGGGAATGTTCTTAAGTAATTTCTGTTTATAACAACTATTAACTTTCAGTATTTACAATGTAATCATTGCATAATTACAGCCCTTTCTACACCAGTTGTCTGAGATTGGTCACACTAAGGATTCCCTTCTTTCTTCGC